ATTCTAGGAGTATTATATACAAATATATTTATTTTATAATAATAAAATGATTCTAATATTTATGCTTTTGTAGAATGTATTCCATTAAATTATTAAGGAAGAATGTGGTTTTTTAATAAATATAATCATTTGGGAATTAGAGACTTTATTTTGAAGACTTAACTTTTTATATTTAAAAATTCCAATAGTAGTGATTATGACTGTTAAGGAGCTATTTTATAGAGCAATGTAGCAGTTGCTGAAGATGAGGAATTTGGAAAATGGGTGCATGACCTGGAGCAAATCAGTTTTCCTTGGATCCTTGTTTCATACAAAAAAACATGTATAAGGGATTAAGAAAGAGAGAGAGAGTGTGTAGAATATGTGGTAAAATGTAAACAATTGGTAGATGTGACTGAATGATATATGTGTTTATTTTACTAGCCTCTCAACTTTCTGTGTGTTTTCAATTTTCAAAATAAAAAAAAAAAAGGAATCTCTTTGACACAATTATTTTCTGAAGCTTCTTTGCATATGCAAAATTGTAAATGGGTTTTATTCCCTGAGAAACTATTTTGAACATGTTAGCGAAAAATCAGTTCAAATGCAAACCTAAAAGAAGCAATTATATAGTATCCAATATTAATAGTTTAACAAATAGTAATAGTTAATATTCAGCATTCAACTAGACATTAAATAATGAGATAATGTGCTCTAAAAGATGAACCTCTATGACACGACCCTTCAGTCTAAAGGATATTAAGTCTAAGTCAGTAATTCATAATCTACTTTCTATCTCTGTAATTTCAGCTATACTGGAAATTCATTTTTAATATTATAGGAAATATTTCATACATTCCAATATTTTATGAATTTCAAATAATATGATATGTCATTATTTTGGATAAAAATAATGCATTGCCATCCTGCAATAGGATTAAGAAGAGCTAATGATGGGGAATACTTATTATATACTAGAATACATACTATATATATTATGTTACATATTCTGTTATCATTTATGTATTTATTACATGCTTTAGTGTTTATTACTATATATGTAACATCCTTTGGTGTGCTTCTTCTGCATAGACTTTTTGGGTATTTGCAAGTAATAAACTTGTGTCATTTGGTAATGCTCCCACTGAATTTTATTTTGTGAGAATTGATTATGACAGAAGGCCATGTACTAAATATCTATTTTTTAAACAATATGATACTTCAATATTTACTGCTTCCTCTTAATTTTTGAAAATAAAAAACTTGATCAGTGCGATTTTTATTTGAATATCACTTTTTAAATATGAACTCATGTTTTTTTTGCCTTGTTTTTAATGTTTTGTTGTTTTTTGTTCTTCATAAAATACACCCTCACATGTTTCAGAACATGCTGTGCATTGACATTGTCATTTCCTTAGTTGGCCTCTTAGATACTTAGTTAGAAATAGTAAATTCAAGATAATTTTGTCATTTCCTCACAATCCAGAGGGTGACATTGGCAAATTCCCTTCTCAGTTTAATAATTCTTTCTTTCATTGGACCTCATGATTTCCCTTCCTTAGTAACACCTATAAATACAGCTGTTTACTTCAGTAGTAACTTCCAAGTAACTTCAAGAGAACCCTACCCAATACTTTTGAAATTGGCACTCTATATCATAAAGGCATCTCTCACACAAGGACAAATATGGTTATTAATCCGAATCAAATAAAGGAACAAATGCAGGCCATTTGGTAATAATTTAAAATTTACAAATGTGCATTTACCTGCTTTTATGACAAACTAGGTGAACGAAGTATTTTTTTTTAAGTGAACATTGAGTCTAATGGCCACTTGTCCTAAGAATCTTTGGAAGCATACACCTTGCCTTAATGTATTCTGACACTACTTTTCTCTCTGCTTTTTAACTCTTAAAGGTGATTTCTCAAAGGTGACTTCAGTGGAAATGTTGGATATCATAGTTTGGTTATTGTTCATCTCTTTAAAAAGACCTTATAATTATGATTTCAAGAGATTCCCCAAATTAATATAAATTTGGACGGGATTGATTCTCTCATTATCCCAGCGCTAATGAACTTTCTTTCAGAAAAACTCACTTTCAAACAGAAGTGGGAGCATGTACCCAAATTAGAGAAGTAGAAGAAACAGAAATAATTAAAACATAATACTAACATTTTTAGGTAGTTCTCCTACACACAATTTAAGAGAATCTTTCCATTTTTCTCTGTGTTAAGATTATGAAATATCACAACCATGAAACATCTTCAACACACTTGGTAAAGAAAAGAATAAAAACAGTGGTTCTGGCTAATTAAATATTGGAGAACTATAGAATTTTAGAGACCTTAAATGCCAGGTCAATTATATGCTACTTTCTTTTGTAAGTTTGTTTGTTTGTTTGCTTGTTTGTTTAGAGAGCACATATTTCTGCACAGGGGAGGGGCAGAGATAGAAGGGGAGAGAGAGAATCCTAAGCAGGCTCCACGCTGTCAGTGCAAAGCCTGACATGGGGCTCAGTTCCACAAACCATGAGATCATGACCTGAGCCAAAATCAAGAGTCGACTGCTTAACTGAGCCACCCGGGTGCTCTCCTATACTACTTTCTTACAAACTCATGTGCTGGAACATAAAGAGTTGGCTTAATTTTATGGTATATAATTACACAGTTTCATATTAGTATTAAATGTACCTTGAAGCACTCCTAAGCTCCTCCCAACTTCCTAGGCACTATTCTAGGTCTTTATGTAAGAAAATATGACTTTTTTGTAGTGTAGTGATGATTAAATGTTTCTTATTTAAATGTATTAGATCAACAGAATGAAAATACGTGTTTTTTTTTTTAATTTTTTTTTTCAACGTTTATTTATTTTTTTTGGGACAGAGAGAGACAGAGCATGAACGGGGGAGGGGCAGAGAGAGAGGGAGACACAGAATCGGAAACAGGCTCCAGGCTCTGAGCCATCAGCCCAGAGCCTGACGCGGGGCTCGAACTCACGGACTGCGAGATCGTGACCTGGCTGAAGTCGGACGCTTAACCGACTGCGCCACCCAGGCGCCCCGAAAATACGTGTTTAACTGGGGCGCCTGGCTGGTTCAATAGAAAGAACGTGTGACTTTTGATTCTGGGGTCGTGAGTTCGAGCCCTATGTTGGGTGTAGAAATTTCTTAAAATAAATAAAATTTAAAAAAATATGTATTAACAAAGATAAATATTTATTAGTAATAATAGGATTATACTATACCATTACACATAGTAAGAATCCTCAGTTTATGAATATAAATGAAATGTATTAATTTTAAGAAAAGTGGTATAGTTCTTACAGAAGAAACAATATAATTAAAAGTTATGTATTGAATCATTTGACAGTGTTACATTTATACAAGTAATTGATGGCGATCTAGAAACTCTCAACTTATATTCCAAAATCTGTCTATTATATGATATTATTCTTCATTGTGAAAAATACTTTTTTAAATGTCTTTACTTATCAGATTTCCTATGTTGTTTACAAAAGAGGGCATTGTTTAATAATGACAGCGGAGAACTCACATCATTGGGGCAACTCGTATAGTATGTGGGCATTGTCTTTCTAATTGTATAGTGTGTATGACTGAGAATCTGATGACCTAGGTCAGTCATATTGCATCACTGTTTGAGATACTTTATAGTTGTAAAATTATTGTTCTATACCTTTCACGTATAAATAGTGTATGATTAAATTGTGAATTATAGAGTCATAACTAGAAAGCAAATTAAAAATATCAATCACCCTATCCAAACACCAGAGAAATATGGTAACTATTATAATTAAAATATTTTATTTAATACTGTGCATTTTGATCACTTTCTAAAGAGATTTTCCTGACTAAAAACTCTCGCAATCAAAATGTTTTCATTAGTCAGATTTATATATTGCATAGTTCTAGGTGGCATAAATAATGATATTGGAAAAGATTGGTGAAGGTTGGAAAGTACAATTGAATTCAAATATTTGTAGAATATTTTGTGTAACATATAGACATTGCATTCACTGCTCTGTGTGAAGTCCTCTATACTCTCCCATACCAGGATTGCACCTCTGGGTACTTTATTTTTGAATGCTTCTAATATTAATGTATGTGATTTCATAGTTTACGTATAATCTGCATTTGTCTCTTTCTGTGTGTATATGAATTTTGCAGATATGCCTGTTTATCTGAAGAATAAGACACAGATGCACATTTACATGTTTTTAAGGTCCTAGAACTAGTTTCATTATAATTCTGCTTAAATAATGAGAGAAGTTTGTCCATAATAGAATAATGGGAAAAAAAGTCTGAGAAAACACACACACCTCCCCTTCCATCCATCACCCCTGTACATCCATCCATCCATCCATCCATCCATCCATCCATCCATCTATATATAGAAATAGATAGATGATAGACATATATATATAAACACAGTAATTTATTTATGTATTCTTAAGTGCACGATTTTATTCCATTTAGTCTCTATATTATGAAAATAACTACCTGAATATCTTTGATCCATTTCTTAAAGATTATTCTAAAACAACTAAAATAAACAATAAAATACACCTAACATTAAAATTTATAACATAACGTATGGAATAATTAAACATATCAACATTTCCCTTGAAAGTGACCATTGTTATAAACACTTAAGCAGAAAAGAAGTATTCGTCAAAACTTCTGATCGTGGCTGTATGACACTGTCATGACCAAGTTTGTTATGACTCAGTGACTGATTTTCCAGTAAATGCAAAAGGACACAAAGTCTGCAGGCCACACAGCTTTGGAAAAGAAAAAAGAAATCATTTTGTTTTACTTATTATTTACTTCTGCTATCATCTATTTCAAACAATGATATTAGATTAAAAAAAACAAAAGAATTTGCCACCTCAGCACCTTAACTGCTAGAACAGAATCTTCTAGGGGCTAACTAATTGCCTGTGTATTTTGTCTAGGTGTTGAGGGAAAGCTAAGAGAATGAAGGCTCTAAATCCCCAGTGGAAGCATGATATGGCGGAGCAGAGCTGGTGCTGAATTGTTCTCTCTGATGGCTCTATGGGAGTGGATAGCCTTGAGTCTTCATTGCTGGGTTTTAGCGGTTGCTGCTGTTTCGGATCAGCATGCCACAAGCCCCTTCGACTGGCTCCTCTCTGATAAGGGACCCTTCCATCGCTCACAGGAATACACAGATTTTGTGGACAGAAGCCGGCAGGGATTTAGCACAAGATACAAGATATACAGGTATGAAGCAAAGGGAAAGCAATTATAGAGATATCTTCCTTGAAGGTTGTGTATGACTAAGTTTCTCTAAGGGAAAGTTTCAGATGGGAAAGGGTAATTCTCAGAAGGGTTATTATTTACTATTCACAATAGTACTGTTTTCTGGTTATTTAAAAGTATTTCTTGTACATGCAATACATATATATTGTATATTCCAATATATATAAATTTCAATTAACTTTGAAGCTGAGTTTATCATTTTAAATAGCCAAAATTTTAAGTGAATTTTCTTGAGATTCCTTTCTACCTCATACCATGCTATGTTACCTTTTTTAGCTTAAGTAGAAATGGTGTCTTCTAGTTGCTGAGAAGTTGAGTCTCCTGATCCTTTTTTCCCTTAAAGGTAATTGTGCATTCAGAAGCTGGAGAAAATGGCAATGGGCTAAAAAGAAGTAGCAGATAAATGTGACATGATAGCAAAGGCCAAGAAAAAGGAAGGGATGGAGATATATGGCCTTTTCTTTTACCCTTGTTATATATTTGAATATAAATAAGTTACACAAAAGGAGTCATATATTAAATCCAACACACTGCCTGCTTCCCCCAAAACCAGTGAATCCATTAAGTAGAGGAGTGTACAAATGATTGCCTGAATGGATTAGATTGTATTGATCTTTGCCATAAAGAATGTTTTATGTAAGGTTATCAGTTTGGTTTGTTTCTTCATGATTGAAATTTACAATTCCCAGCAGCTGGTTTAGCATTTATGCAGAAGCAAAATTTAATATTGTATTTTTGTGTCTGATTCTATGTAGATACTATTATATAAATATTTTATTTTATGTTGTATGTGCACCAGAGGGCACTGTGCTTCTGGTCTGTATGTAGTCTATTATACATCATTGCGAGAAATTTATAAATCCTATCAGTAATGCATATTTACAGAACAGACTGAAGGTACTGAACAAGTTTCATGAAATCACACTGTTCCCTGTGTTTGGATGCACGTGCGTGCACATGCTTTTGTTTAATAAGAAATCGCTTAGTCCAGGCAGCCAGGGCGCATTCACAAGTCTGCAAAAAGACTTATTCTATTTTAAAAAAATGACATGATAAGTATTAAAGATTTTCTTTCTGAAATGCAGCAGGAAACAGTCAATATAATAAAATTCCAGCTTTATTCTTTTTACATGTGTTTGTTGGTTTAGCCAGATTTCCTTTACAAATTGTGTGAAGCTACTTGAACTTAAGATTGTAAGAATGTCTAATATTTCAGCATTCTGCACGAGGATTTTTAACAGTCTGTCAAACCAACTAACCCAGAGCATGTCTTCATGATTTATTGGCATCTGTATTGGGAGGTCTGAGGTGTTGACTAGTGTGTGATTGTTTGGCTCAGCTTATTGGTCGATCAGCTGTGAGTTGGAAACATGGCCTGACATGTCTTTAGAGGTTCTAAGTTCAATGAAAGAGACACTATTTGGATCACCACAGTGAAAGGTAATGAAAAACAGTGCCTTGGGATGTGTTTGCAAGGCTCATATATACCCTTTTATCTTCATGGAACTGTATTCTTAAAGACCTCCTTTAGCCCTATGCTCCTCATCCTTCCTATGTCTTTATCTGTGTGGCTTGAATAAACATGTATGGGAATTGTTTATTTATAAACAGTGTAATACAGTGTCCCTTTCCCCCAGCCCAGACAAGGCTATAACTTCTTATGTTACCTTTGAAACCTTGCCTAATGATATTCGTTGATGGTTGATATGTAATGAACAGTGTAATATATTTATAAGGATTACTTTTGTTTTGGAACAGTGAGATATTTCATTTATCCAATTAGTATTTATCTAAATTTCAGATAATTCTATCCAACTGTGCATCTAATGTAATGGATCTGCACTGTTCCTTGTGAAGTTAAGCTTGTTTTTGAGATATTAGAGAATCTCAAATAGAAGGATTAGAATGACTTTTTGTTATTGTTGTTTTTACTTTAAAAAGTATTTGTCTTAAAAGCTAATTATTAGAGACTTTGTCTTTTATAAATATTTGTCTTGAAATACAGAATTTAAGGCACATACGTGGAAAATTAACATTTCTTATATTAAGCACTAGATTAATCATTCTAAAAAGACCAATTTCAAAGAATGATCAGCCAAATTTTACTATGTTTATTATTACTGTCATAAGCTCCTTCATGCAGGGTACTGCACTGATATAGTTTCTGCAAGGTATTAGTTCTAAATGTAAAACATATTAACCTATTAAAAGAATTAGGTCAGATCTTTTTCAGTTATCTTCATTTTATATCCTTCTCCAGCAGCATACTTTTCTTTTCACCTCAAAAATAAAACAGCAAGATCATAACCATTAAACATTACTAAGATCACAGTCAAGGCTTAAAGAAGAAAAAAGTGCCATGATTTTTTTGACAAAATACATTTTTGTCAACTAATGAGGCCCATATTTGTATTTTTAAATTAAAGTGTATTATAAAGAAATTTTAGATTTTTGCTCTGGAATAACACAATCAATTAAAAATGGTTATTTTATCAGTAGATCGTTGAATTGGAGGATATAGAATTAACTTGCTAACACTTAACTTACCTGGTTAACATTAATAGTTGGGTGTTTAGCCATCTTTCCCTCTTAGTTGAAGATTGATAATAGAACCTAAGCATAGGCATTTTAAGTGTCCTCAGTTTTAGAAAAAGGATTATGCTTGGAGAAATTTTGTGTGCTACAAGGCATAGAATAGGAGCACACTTGATGCCTTAATCAGTTGGAAGCTTGTGATTGGTTACTATGCTCTAGAACCGCCCATAAGCAGTAAGCCACCAGCAAATGCATAATTTCTTTCAGTCCTGCAGATCCATCCTTCCTTCCTTCCTTCCTTCCTTCCTTCCTTCCTTCCTTCCTTCCTTCCTTTGTTTCTTTTTTTCTTAAGAGAGTGAAAGTGCAAGTGGGATGGGGAAGAGGAAGAAGAGAGATAATTTTTTTTAATGTTTATTTATTTTGCGAAAGTGCAAACATGAGTGGGGGAAGGGCAGAGAAAGAAAGGGAGAGAGAGGATCTTAAGCAGGCTCCACACCCAGTACGGAGCCCTACACAGGGCTCAATCTCCCCACCAGATCATGACCTGGGCTGAAATCAAGAGTGCAACGCTTAATCGACTGAGCCACCCAGGTGCCCCTTTTATTCTTTTAATAAATTATAAGAGTTCCAGACAAGGGACTCACTTTTAGCAACTCAAACTTAGAATTATCTTGAATCACAGCTATAAGTTCTATGGTCATAGGAAGGTGAATTTTATTTCCATAAAAGAGACATTTCGCATATGTAGATCTTCAGATATGGTGATACAAAACAAAAACCTATAAAATCCTTTCTTTGCTTTACCAAGCTTCTACCATTCTTTGTTTAAGCATATGTGCAGGTAACATTAAGGAAAATAATGTTGCTTTTCTTAAAATCTTCCAAGATAATATAAAGATATGACATATTACCACAACTTAGTTTACTTCCTCAAAGCAGTCTTTCAAAACAAAATTTGAATGAGAATAGGAAACAATTGAAATAAATGTTAAATGTTGTGCCTTATTGGTCTTGGTGGTCATATTCTCTGAAAAAAATGTACTTAAAAAATGGTGTGCAAAGGAGAAGATAGTCTAGAAAATAAACAAATGTATGGACATTTTATATATGATAGGGGTATATGAAATTGTATATGGGAAAGGGTGAGCTTATGAGTAAATGGTGTGCAATTTGAGTATCCATATGAGGTAAGCAGAAATCACATTCCTTCCTCTTCTGATATATACAAATCCACTTTAAATGGAATAAAGATCTAAATAGGAAAGGCAAAAATGTTAACTTTTTAGAAGAAAACAGAGGAAAATACTTTCATGATGTTGGGGTTTGTAAGGGTTTCTTCATCAGGCATTAAACATTGCACATCAACAAATATTGATCAATTCAGGTATATTGACATATATATATATGTGTGTATATATATATATATATATATATATACATAAGTACACACACACACACACACACACACACACACACACACACTAACAGGAATCTGGCCACTGGTAGCAGCATGGATGAATCTCCAAAACAGAATATTAAGTGAAAGAAACTAACACAGGAAAATTTGCACACAGTATGATTCTGTTATATGAAATTCACAAAACTAAATTGTACTGTTTGGAGATGCACACCTGAAGATAGTGGGCAAACTTAAAGAAAAGCAAGGAAATTACTAAAACAAAAATCAATATAACAGTTATTTCTATGAGGATGTAAGAAGGATGGAATTTTTAGGGCAGAATATGAAGGATTTTTAAGGTAATGACAACACTCAATTCCATAAAGTGGATGGTTGTTGCACTGGTGTTCTTTAGATTCTAAATATTTGTTTTAGGGGTGCCTGGGTGACTGAGTCAGTTAAGTGTCTGACTTTGGCTCAGGTCATGATCTCATGGTTTGTGAGTTCAAGCCCCACATCAGGCTCTGTGCTGACAGCTCAGAGCCTGGAGCCAGTTTCAGATTCTTTGTCTCCCTTTCTCTGCCCCTCTCCTGCTTGCACCCTGTCTCTCTCAAAAATAAATAAATAATAAAAATGGAAAGAAAGAAAGAAAGAAAGAAAGAAAGAAAGAAAGAAAGAAAGATTTTAGACTTTTAATATAGCATTTTATATTTCACAATATAAAAAATTTTAATAGTAGTATTGTGTCAGCTTTGAATTGAAAGATTGAAGTCTTCAAATTAAGTAGATTAATTCTTCCTTTTGAATCACCCCCAAGTTCAATATTTACTATTAAAGCTTATTAAGCTCTTATAAATTCTATAGAAACGTTTAATGATATGAGCAATATATGCTCCATTATAGTTTAGTATCTATACATGCATTAATATGCAAAAATAAAATTTTTCTTGTTGATTTTTGTTTACAAAAACCTTCCATAATTTTTATATGTGAGTTTTACTATAGCCTTTCATTGATGGGATTATTA